GGAAGAGAATGTTTCCATTGTATGCTCAGATGCAGTGTGAGAATAAAACTAGGGTAAGGTGACTACCTGTGTAACCTATGAAAAAGGAAAAGAGTGCTCTAAACATTACAGAACAGGGCAAGTGTGACGCTATTAGAAAGACTGGAGCTTCTTGTGGGTCCTGATTGCAGTCTACGCTCTAAAAAAATCAATTGTGCAGCTCAGTTACACAAACAAAATAAATACTACTTCAAATTAACAGACCTTTCAAACTTCTGTTTCAGGACTTTGTCACAGAAATCTCTTTATTGCACTGTGAAACAGTAATTTGTCGGTAGGACTCCCTTTGCTTTAAAGTAGTAAAGTTGAAACAATTACGACATTTCTCTTTCAATCTCATTGGGTTGATCTTTCCAGTGCCTTTAAGGATTTTGAATACTCAAATCAAATCCTCTATGACAGTCTCTGATTAGTCTTTTCTGGACTGATTTCTTAACAGCTATATCTTTTTGGCAACATGGTGAAAAAAAATTGTACATGTTATAAATGAGGTTTTACTTTCGGATTCTCCAATTTTAACGTGCCTTTATTTAAACTCTGCTGTTTTAACTATACTGTATATTCTCTAATTTATATTGCTTCTCCACATTGTCAAGAAAATTGAAATATGTCAACATAGACATCATTTTCTGAGGTCATTTCTTCAGGCTCAGCGTTTTTACATGTACAGTATTTTAATTGTATGTTTTTCTACCAATATTTAACACTTTTGAGTTGTCTTCTTTAAATGTCATCTTCCAGGCATTTGAACGGTCTTGGGTTTATTCCTAAATCTTTTTGATTCTACAGTGTTTACTTTTGTTATTATCTGTGAACTTGACTAATTTACTAACTATTCTAGAATCTAGATTATTCATTATAATTTATGGTACTTTGTGATAGTTAACTGATTGTCACCCTAAATTAAGCATTACAGTTTCTATCCAATAAGCAGGTATCAATCCAAAAACAAGCATTACCTTGAGTGCTTACTGCCTGCAGTCTGAGAATTAATTTTTTATGAGGAAAGTTATGAAAACCCTCCAACAAATACAAAAATACCATATCATATGTTCAATTTGCAACCCTTACTGCTGTTGCTTTCAGAAGGAAAAATTGGCCTACCTAGTGTTAAGATCTTTTTATTGAAGTTGGTAAGCACTGAGCATAGCTTAATCTTGAGGGGAGTGTTTAAAAATACAACAATCTCTAGAGGAAAAGAATGCTTTCAAAAAGAATGTTGAGAAAATAAACTAGATTTGAAAAAAATATTATTTCTATTTGCATGACAGTAACATGTTTAGAAATGAAAGTATAATAGTTTTATTGTTTTTAGATTATATTTTAAAGAATGTATCTTAAATTTTAAATTTAGGACCTATTTACTTTTGTAACTCCATTAAAGTGAGCCATTGGGTGCCTTTTTTTTTCGTTCAGAGCAGCTGGCAGCGGACTTCCTGATATCTTGTTTTCCACATATTTAAATACCTCAGAATAACAGACTGTCAAATTCTCGAAAGTGAGAACTGCAAGAGTGGAAACATTTTTCTTTTTTAAAAATTGCACTAGCCTCCCTTCACACCAGTCTGAACGGGAGGTGGGAGTAATTACATCACTGTGTGTTGAAGCAGCAAATTTCAAAATATGTGGAAATCGGATGATATTGGAGACATTGCTCATCTACAGTTTACCACCACTTAAAGAATGACCAAGCTTGCAAATGTTTTCCATTTGTCAAGATGACATTCAGAAATGTCATTTCAATGGCTGACAGAACAGCACTGAAGTTATTTTTTTCTTCATTTTTAGATAATGTCATATTCCCTGACTTCCCTGATGCAAAACATCTTTATATATAGCACCCAAATGAAATCTGACTTCAGAACTCTTACAGATGACATACAGTACTGACTGCCATGTCTAAGGTCCTGCAGTACCAATGTCAGGTCAGAAAACCAACCAATCACAGTGTGATATATTTTATTGCTACCTGAACTTTCTAAAAAACTTAAAATGGCACCACGAACAAGACAAGTCTCAGCTTACATGTTGGTTTGTTTTTAAATAGCAGCAGAGCATTTCTTTGTCAGTTTGAGACTTAAAGTGTTTTTTTTCAACAGTTCTGTTGTATTTTTATCCAACCCAACACAACATGGCCATGCTAAGTGGTCCCACTTTCCTGTGTGAATTCTAAAATAAGGCATTGGTAGTGACAGGACAATTCCGTCTTTTTTCCCAGACTTACTTTGCCCTGCTTATCTGTATAACAGACCTGTAAAAGTGATATGTATGCAGCAGTACTTTCTATGACATGCTTGTATGTTTAAGAAATATACAGAAGGATTTCTTGTCTCATTAAAAGTCCAATGAATCACATATATTAATCAAAAAGAGCAAAATTCGAAAAAAAACCTTATACCTATCTCTTGTTTAAATGACACCAAGTCGTCACAGAAAGGAAAAATATTGGGACTTAAAATCATAAGCAGGTTCAGAGGTTGCTACTTATGTCATGTCTGTGGTTGCTGTCGTATTGACGACTTGATTGCTGATGTGCAACACAGATGTGATCAGACTGATAGTCTCAATATGAGACAGATCTATAAGAATTTGTAGTTCCAAAAAGGAGTAAGTAATAAGTAATAAGTAAGTGCATAAGACTCGATATTTAACAATACATTCAAGTAAGTAAAGAATTCCTACATGTTGCTCTTTATACTGTACAATTCAAACATACTCTATACTGTGTTTTTCTTAATGGGGAAATTAATTACACTGTGTACTTAGGTTAAATTGTGCTGGGGTTATCAAGGCAGGAAAATCTGCTCATTACAGCGATGGAACTTGGTATGTCACAGACCCGAAGACTCATTATTGCCTAGCTCGCTTTTGCATGTCCATCTGTGTTGTGATTCCATTATGCTTCTCGCAAGCTGACTCATTTTGCTTGTAAACAGTTCTGATTAATTTCATCTTCACTTTTATATAAACAGACCTTCCATGTGCAGCCTTTTAAACAATCTTCCCCAGTCTTCCTTGTTCAGGTGTGTGAGGTGGCATGGTGGTGGTTACTGTCTCACACCTTACAGCTCCAGAGGCCTGGGTTCAAATTCCAAGCCATGGTCTGTAGGTTTTGCAGGTTCTCATCCTGCTTATATGTTGTTGTTTTTTTGCTGGGTGCTTCAGTTTTCCCACAACAAGCAAGTTTCTTTTGATTGTTGATTTGATTTTGATATAAATTGTCACTTTTTGGGGTAGGGAATGAGCATTAAAAGACAATTTCTGGGTGGAGGTGGGGGTTACCACTACAACCACTACTGTGCAAGTAGAAAGAACTGTAGAATTAGCAGAATGCTATATGCATTTATATTATTTTTGGGTATGTTTGTTTTTAATTTTGGATCACTAAACTATTAGCAATTACTTTAAAGACTGTCTTCTGTTAAATCATATATACAGTGGCCTAAAATTTCAATAAGAAATGTCAACAGAAGACTTCAATAGGAATGTTGTAAAAGTGAGAATTCACTGGTACATCTTGTTGTTAATTCACTGTGAATATATACTGTACAGTACTTTTTAATTTTTTTAAGTAAATGTACTTTGAGGTCACTCTGATATAATAAGTCAACTCTTTGCTAATTTGCTTCCACAGTCATTTTTAATGTAGAGGATAATATTGTACATTTATGGATTTCTATTACTGGCACTTCCTCTGTAGATGGGCAAGTATCCTGTCCCGTGTAAATGCCACACCAGACTATGCCATCACATGCCTTGCACTGACAGGTACCAGACATCCTCATTTAATTACTTCTCATCTGGACTTTTTAAAACGTGTATCGTACTTAAACTCTGCCATAGTAAACTAAGCAAAAAAGAGCCATTTCACAGACAGTAATTGATCTAAGGCACCAAAACTGTGCTAGGAAAGGATTTAAGGAAAGAATTAAAGACCAAGCTGGGACCAGGACTGACCCTTTTTGTGCCAAGTGAAGCACTGAAAAGCAGCAGAAGAAAATTAACAAAAAATGTAACTTTCACCACTGTGTTTGGTATGCCATGATTTGATTTGAAAATGTCTCTCTTTGGCAGGAACTTCTAAAAACTGCAGTTGAGCTAACCTGAGACCTTGCTAAGGAACACTGTTGGAGATACAGGTGTCCCTTTAACAGCACTGTGCTCCCAAACAATGTTGAGTTGGCAGCTGGCCTGGCGTAGATCAGTGTTATTGATGGAATTTGACTGGGCTTACATTTCTCTGACAAAAGTTTCCCTCAGCAGTGTGCTGCCAGCACTTGGGAGGGGGAGCGAGGGCAGTGAGGTTGATGGCGCTCCCTCAGCTGTTCATTTAATTTCCGTTGAACTTTCCAGATATTAAATTGTACTTTCGAAATCAAATCTAATATTGCTAGACAGGAAGGCGCAGTGCCGTAATTCCATTGTTGTGGGCAGCCCTATTACTGTTCCTGGTCTTCATGAACAGATAAAAACATTGGCACCAGCGTAAAATTGGTTGATGTGAGAGATTTACAGAACAATGGTTTGTCCTATGTTTTTTTATAAAGTCTACTTCAACAAATGAGGTTTTTACTCCAGACACTAAAGGGGGTATTCTACGTATGACTATATAATCACTTGTGAAGACTAAATGAACTGGGGTGTGGTTATTAGTGTCCATTTCAGTATGCATTCATTTATATTTCTATACACTTTATGGTTTCAGATTGAATCATTGCTGGGTGAGTGCATACTATACAAAAACAGCTATTAATTCAAGGAATAGAAAGACACTTAAGAAATAAGGAGTATTTTCATATAAGACTCTTTTGGTATCGGGTCTTTCCATCTACAATTAACTCATGTATGCAAGCAGCTTTATAGATAAATACACAGGGAAGGAACTGATTTCTAGTGAGAAGTAGAATACATATTCCTTTCCCCTTGTCACAATAACAATACCCACAATAACAGACTACAACAACTCTCAACACCTCATTTTATTGTCCCAACATTCAAAAGTACAAATAATTCAAACACAACAGTTTTATGAAAAAAACATTTACAGCAAGTTATTTTTTCACTTTTGTTTCCAGTTTCAGAAATGATCTAAACTAGCAAGGATAACATGAAGTCATTCATCGCAGTAATTAGATTAATAAGAGTAAATTAAGTTGGATGGACCGGCGTGGTCCAGTGAAAGTTTTTTTCTTTTTTTTTAAAAGTTATTTTACTTTATAGATTCTCAGATAAACAAACACATTTCAGAATAAAATGAAAATGACAAGAGCCTTTTTCCCCCCTCTACCTTCCCTCCCACACTACGGTGTAGGTGATAATTTGTTCTGTCAGCAGGTGGCACTGTTTGTCTCTGCAGTTTTAACTGGGAGGAAAGAGTGCGGAATGGGACTGGCTGAACTTTCAGAGCTCCCTTTCTGTGGCAAATCAGTATTTAATGCCCCACTTTACCGATTTAAAATCAGAGCCCACACATGCATGTCAGAGGATAAATTCCTCCACATATGCTGCTGAGCAAGCATGAAGTTGAAACACAACAACGTAAGAAAGGTGGAAAAACAGTGTAGGCCATTGGGCTCATCTTGTTTGCTTGGTTTCTTTGATTGTAATGAGGGTCTTATCTGCTCATTTCCTGTGGACTCCAGCTAATCTCTTTCAACAAGATGATTCTAGTTTTAATTCCCAACAAATATATGAAACGGGGCGATATTACATGTAATCATACATGGTAAACCTTACATTCAACGGTTCTTTGTGAGTCCAAAAAAATGAAATGTTCAAATTAAGTTGCGATGTCAATCATATAAGAGTCCTGCAGAAATTACCACAGCAGACTGTTACAGATCCTGTCCCCTAGGGAGAATCAGGGTCAATAGGAGGGATCGGGGGATTACTATACAAAGCAGACTTGAGGTTTCTTTAGGTTTTTAAATGTAATTGGCAAAGCACGAGAACATTGAAGATCTTTTACGACTGTATCAACACTGTTCTGAAAGATTAAGTGGTCTGCTTTGTAAAAAGAAGCCGATGTTTACAGCAGCTAATGTTGACACCCAGCACTGACACACATCCATCTCCGTGTGTGAAAATACACATATTGTGTATTTGTATGTGGGGTTGCAAAGACTTTGCCTCTGACAAACCCTGTATTCAGCTGCTGATTAATCATTAATCACAAATAACTGACAATTTCACATCAAATTGGACAAAGCAGTTGGATAAAGTCTTTGTAACTAGAACAATAAGTATTGCTTGAGTGACAAAAGTATTTTTTTTCACACATCTAATGTGATAGCAGTTTCTGAACTGTGTCCTGTATACTTCACAGCATCTATATTATGCGACAAAAAGGCTTAACTTGATCGCAGTACCCTACAAATAACTTTTTAAAGAAACTGGTTTTAAGCAGCATTGTGAGTTTGCAATTCATAATGGACTGCAGAGCCTTACAGGTAGCATAAATTGGATATCATTTTGAATGCCAAGAACATATTTTTGTGAACAATTATCTATTTGCATAAAAGTTTGTTTTCAAGCTCTCTGTAGTGTGGTAGGGAGGTGTGGAGTGGCTTGCAAAACTACACAAACTTATCACAGGTTATATTGAACCAGAACAACTGTTAACATTCTAGTAAGACTAAACTTTATTGAAAAAGATTTAAAGATTTTTTTAACAAGACAAGAAAAAAGCAATAGCAAATTTAACTATCAACTAGGTTATGCATAGCGAGTAACTGTTTCTAGTAATTAGGGAAGAGTGTCACCAACCCTTTTGACTTATTTTTTTGTTTTAATCTTTTTTTTACTTTTTAATTTTGATATATTGGTACAAAGCACAAATGTACTAAAAGTTTTCAGTGCACTGGACTATTGGAAGAGCCTCTCCCTTAGTCATTTTGTTCCCTTTAGCTCATAAACATCCCCCCATACCAGAATCACGCATAAACACCAACAACATAAAAATAAATAAATAGATAAATAAATAAATTCATGAAACAATCAATAAATAAATACAGTTATCTAAGCTTTGCTCGGTTTCTTTCCGCAGCGGTAAGGAAAATAAACCCAAAACATTTCCACAAGCGACGTGACAACATATTAAACAAGATTTTCTCACGAGTTTTCTAAGTAACTGAATAATCACTTTATAAAGTTGTCATATGATAAAGACGAGCTTGAACAGAAAAAACAGTGACAACTTATATATATAGGAGAACAAAAGTAGACTATATATTATTTATTAGCACACAACAAATAAAGACACAGTTGTACCTTTTCTAATAGCTCTTTTGAAGAAACAAATACCTAGACTAACAAAACTAGCTAATTTTTATTTGATTCTGACCAAATGCATCACACGCAGCAAGTAACCTAAAAAAGTCTGCAAGCCAAAGAAAACTCGTTAAGTGATTCTAACGAGCCCCCTATTTGGTCATCCGGCTTTCCCGAAATATTATGAAAAGCCGATACCGGAGGGGGGGGCGACAATTGAAATGAACCAAAACGGCAGCCCAATTCATTGCGAACATCAAAGATTTCTCTAAACAACACATAGAACAACAAACTTGGATATTTAAGATATGTAAATCATGTTATATAGCACCTACCGCTGATCACTAAAGGAAGTTTATTTCAAACTTTATTTTTAAGGAATTAAAACAAACCGTTTTTTTCTAAATTTATTTATTACTGATATCCCATAGACTGATGACTCAAAGAAAATGAGCTGACTATGCATCTCCTTGCTTCAGGGCTCTGGGCTGTGAGGGTCTGGTAGGTCTAGGAAGACCTCTATCCCTCCCTTTTTTCCTTTGTAGAACGTCTTTGTATAATTACGTGCTATGAAAAGTTATGAAGATCACCTGCCTACATCTGTTTCTCTTGATAAAACCTTCCGTTTACAAAACAATCGCCGATCCAGTTTTCCAAAAAACACACAACCTCGATCCTAAAAAGTACCACGGCAGAACGAACAAGACAAGGTGGCAATATTATTTTCCCCTAAATTAGCCAGTCAAAATATTTTTCTCTTTTTTCAAATCCAGATTCTTGTAAAAATTCTTCAATAATTATTTTTATTATTTATAAAAATAGATTTTTTTCTCTTTTCTTTTTTTCGAAACCCATTTTCAAGCAAAGAGATTTTCTCTTTGGCAACAGTGTTTTTTTTAATTGTTTACGTATGTCATCAGGAAAAGTGAAACCAACCCTCCCCCATCTTTTCCCAACCCCGTGTAAGGATAGACATGTAATTTTGCTTGCAATACAAAACAAAAATGTAAATTGTTTTCTTTCAATCAAAGCTAAAGAAAAACAAGACTTGTGTCATCCCTTTGACTTAAAGTGGGGTTTTCAATTTACACCGGACTTTTTTTTTAAATAAGGAAATTAATGAATGATAAACTGCATTATAAAGAGCCCCCTCCCTCCCCCTTTCAGAGAGGCAGTTATTCTAAAGACAGTGGATCCGGGTTAGAAAAATTCCCAAGTTCCCAACAAATCAGATCTTAAGAAAAGGACATTCTCATGGTTGAAATAAGGGGACCGACTTTGCTACTGTGTACACAGGGGGGAAAAAAAGACGACAAAAATCCTGCAACATCACAGGGTTTCCAAATTATGATTATTTTTTCTTTTTTATGGTAATACTTAGGCAACGTTGGCTTATAGGTCCAAGGTTATAATATAAGCCATTTCCAGTCCTGTTTTGCGTTTTTCCTGTTTTGGAGTTGCTGTGTGGCAGCTTTTGGGGTTCACGACTTGTGGGTCTTGTTGGTTTTGAAGGAGACTTGCAGGACACGGTCGCCCAACCGGTAGCCGTTGAGACTGGCGATGGCCATGGCCGCCTCGTCGTAGTTCGTCATGGTAACGAAGCCGAAACCTTTGCATTTGTTGGTGTTGAAGTCGCGGATCACCTTGACGTTGTTGACCGCTCCGAAGGGCCCGAAGAGCTGCCACAGCACACTCTCGTCTGAATCTGGAGACAAGTTGTACACAAAGATGCACCAGCCCGTGCCTGTGTGTCCAGGAATATTCATTCCCACTAGGCTGGTCATGCTGTCAATGGTGATGGGAGAGAACCTACACAGAGAAAGGGAAAAATGGTAATAAGGTAATGACTTCACCAGACAAAACCTCAGCTTTAAGAGGTCTTTGGTTTTATGGTCTTGTTGATCAGTACATTTGGGCCACATTAAGTCAGCTATCACATTTCCAATAGCTTTTATAAAATATTGCTATAATGGTAGCAGTACCTCTTGATTTAATGGAGACCTTAGTTAAGGCAACACTCTCATTTTACAGCCTGCAAAGCTACTAGGGAAACTAAATCATCCCTAAGCCTCAACACAAAGACAAGTCAAGGTTTTCAGGTCATAACTACTACCATTCTCAACAAGGGACAATTCTTGTAAGTACTGATCACATCTCAAGTTCAAAACCGACATGCTGATAAAACTAACCTCCTTGCTGCCTTGAAATGTTCAGAAGACCATTCTCTGTTATACTTTAATTTTTGGAAAGGAAAGTGCTAGCCATGCAGCTACACCTACAGTGTACTGAGTAAAGGCACAATTCTTGATGGGTAAAAAGGAAAATGTATGCTTAGTTTTGTTGGTGTTGGTTAAAAACAAGGTTTTCGGTAATCATAGAAATAGAAATAATCTGTAATATAATAAAAAAATCTGTAATAATCGGTAATCTGAGAGAGCACTGGATTTCCGGAAGGTGAAGGAGAAACAAGGCAAATGTCAGAGCAGCTGGTTTTACTACAAACCCCCATGAGGGAGAAGATTCAATGGGGACTGGGGACAGACATTGCTATACACAATCAGGGCTGATATAAGAAGTTGGATTCAAGAAGCAGTTTTACTGCCTGTAGATTGTATACTTTTGCCCACTCCTGTCAGACCAGCTAAAGTGTTATGTCTTGTGAGTAAAATATCAGTTTTTTAAAAAGAGGCCTGATGTTTACTGCCTGGATTCTCACTTTTTCCACCTCTTAGTTGTTAATGGTGGTGTCTTCTGTCAAAACATTTGCATGTGTTTTTGGGAAAGAAGCTACGATGTAACCCTCTGTCTGATTCGAGAGCTAGTAGCTTTAGTTTCTTTGCAGAACGTCGGTAGTGAATTCAGTTAGAAGTGAAAAGAAGACTCCAACAGGAATCTTGAAGTGTGCAAGACATCTTGTCACAGTAATGGGAAGTCTGTTTCCAATCTGTCAGAGGTTTATAAAAGGTGAAAGCACACCAAACGGATTGCTCTTTCAATGGGCTAAATTGACGCCTCTAATTCTGAACCTTTTTCTTTTTATCTCCAATCAAAAAGACATGACGATGAGGTTGTTACTGATTCTTTAACATCCTTAACATTCAATAAATAAGCAGATCAAGAGCAATGTACTTTTAATAAAGATGATACTTTAACTTTTGATAATGAATTCCATTATCAGTGGGGATTTGCAGAGATTTCTATTTAATACCAATTACACCTATTTTAGATTACAGAAGCTGTGAATGACACTGATTATTGTCAAAAAGTGACATGTGAAAATGCCTTCAAAATAGGATAACATGATCGAAAATCCTGTTGTGTTGTCTTGTGTAATGTCAAGTACATTAAACTGCTACACGGTGGGAGTCAAATTTCTTAACCTGGGGTTGTACCATCTCAAACACCTGCCTGCCATTATTTCAATACCTCTACTGTATTTTGTAGGTATACTGTGAGTATAGCAGCTCTTCATGACAGCTGCTACAGTAGTGATAAGGCTCTTCACAAGGGCTGACTCCAAAGTGCTTAGTGCAAAATACTGCCTGCAGCTTTGAGTCACACTAACGAAAGCTTGGGTTTTCTTCTAATATACAGTATGTTTATGGAACCGAAATTACAGGAACTCGCTGAAACAAGGCTTTCACTCCTTAAGAAATCCAATTCTTTGCAAACTGAGCATATGCCAGATATCTCCGAAAGCCCAGTTGACTCCAGTTAATTGCCTTCTGATGAAAGGAAATTTCCACTTTAAATAAAAAGGTAGATTGTGCCAGTGGTTCATTTCCTATGCCACCATGTTAAAATTACTGTAGGCATTACAGGGATTCCTTTAAACAAAATTTCCTCTTTATTGCAGATGTCTCTGAAGTACTCTTTCCTATTTATGTAAGGGTGTAAAAGTCAGGGTGATGTACACTTTACAATTCTGCAGTGTTGCCCATGGAGGATTCCACCCACTCCCTGCATTCATCCTTAATACAGCGTGTGCAGCTAATCAATAGCACAATTCTGTGGAATACTCTTGTGGTTATTGGTTTGATTACTCAAAACATCAGCGTTTGTGATAGAAATGCCCTCTGTAGAGTTCAGGGAGAAAACCTGGCACCAGCTCAACTCCAGACACAAGTGGAGTGTGGACAGGCCATTGCACAGCTGACTGACATCTTGGAGTTTTGACAGGAAATTAAGATAAAGCTTGCCATTCTTGGACTTATCGGCAAAAATCTGTTTCGCCATCATCATGGCTTGAACAGTTTCGTCTGTGCACTTAGTTTATATTAGACTTGATGTAAGGAATGACATGAAATGTCAACTACTGAATGGAAAAATTAACTACTGACACTTCTACAGTATGTGAAGTTCGTGGTTTGTCCTTCACAGTTTTTTATAAACTGTGAAAGATATGTAGGCTTTCTAAGTGTGTAAATACTGTAAATACACTTGAATCCAGAACTACTGTTCCGCACCAGTGGCTCTGTGGCTAAGGATCTGCACCTGTGGCTGGAAGGTTGCCCTTCGTATCCTGTGGCTGGCAGAGGAATCCTACTCTGTTGGGCACCTGAGCAAGGCCCTTAACCCCAACTGCTCCAGGGTTGCTATATAAATGACTGACCTGTGCTCTGATCCCAAACTTCTCTCCCTGTCTGTGTGTCTCATGGAGAGCAAGCTGGGGTATGTGAAAAGAGAAATTTCTAATACAAGAAATTGTATAGTGTATGGCCAATAAAGTGATCTATCTTATCTCTCTTTAAAGACATCACTACTGAGAGAAACAACAGTAAGGACACTGAAAATTAATATTGTATTTTTTTCATTTCTTTCTTTTTCACATGATGGTAATTTCACATGATGGTTAATGTTTTTTTTCTTGTAGTCTGTGTTGTTTTCCAAATCTACAATCTAAAATAACCTGCATATGAAAGTAGTTTTAAAAACATTATGTAATTATTATAAATGGAAATACCACAGACCACTATTGGTGCAACTACAGATGCTGCTCAAGAACACTTAACACAGACTGTAGCTTTCTGGTTTTTAATTTTATATTATGCTTACAATTGTTCAAAGTACCCTAGAATTTAAAGGATTTTTTTTTAAGTTCAGCATTACTGTAGTGGCTTTTTCAGATTTCAAATGTAAGCTTTCATTACAACAGTGTATTGCATTCTCTGCTAGGCCAGAACCAGGCCTTTATTTTGATCTATTGACTTGAAAGGTAGGAAAAGTGTTGCATAGCAACCAGTGTGGTGACCTACAGCATAGCCATTCTCTTCCCCGCATACGTAAAGCATATATTTGTAACCTGTTTTTGTTAATTCATTTTGTCTTGACTGGATGTTCATCAAATGAAAATGAGATAGGTCTTCCTTTCTTGCCTTGTTCTTTCACTTTATGCTTACAGACTATGATGAGCAGAGTATTTGTGCATTATTCTCTGCTGTTTCAATACAACATTGTTTTTAATTATTTAGAAACGTTTGTGTATTTCTTATCTTATTATTTATTTGAAACAGCATTAACAAACTTATATGCATTAGCATTAACAAACTTATATGATGGAGAGATTTTTGCCATCATGCTAAATTAACACTTTGTGATTATGAGAAGAAATTCTTATAAGAAGAATACACAAACAATTCAGAAAAATATATTTTCACAGGTTAGTAGTTTTGTATTTGAAAAATCGCAATTACCTATATGGCCCTAAGAGTTTATAAAAATTGTCATCATTGTGTGAGAGCTCCACATTACAGTATTAACTGATTGTGGACAGTAGTGATCCTTGTTAATCATTATGAAAACTGATTTTCTCTATTTGTTATTTTATAAAACATAAAACCTGTTATTTTAAATGTAACATGTAATAAAGGAAAACGAAATACAGCTGTTTCTACAGCTTAATTAAAATACTACCATCCAATATGAAGTAGAGTGCTAAGGCAAAAAAATGCAAAAAGCAGTCATATTTAAAAACAGAGCAGTTTTTCTGAGCTTCAGTTAATAACATTAGCAACAGCAAAATATGAGGGAAACCAAGTGATCAGAGTACACAAAACTGCAGAGAAGCCAAAATTTCCTGCAGGGATCCAGGTACACTCAGGTGCCACTCTCAGTGCTCCCTACTATGAGTACTGTATATGTGAGCTGACCAAGACTGAGAAATGGGCAAAAAGCTTGTGCCAAGTCAATTAACAGTGCCCAACAATGACACATAACATTTCAGGCTATTTGATAAAAGTGCATTGGCACTCAGTAAGTACAAAATTAACTTCAGTTCTTGGAGTATAACATGCTGAAATGTGAAAGACTGTGTTAACTTTCACGATTAAAGTGGAACTCTACAGTATACAGTAGCAGACTAAAAGCAAAATGTAATAATTCAATTTAAATAGGTTGGAGTTTAGAGTACAGAAAATTATCTTTGCCAATTTTTTTTTGAAAACCCTAACAGAAATATCAGAGGAGGTCCTGTGGTTCAACTGCCTCCAGAATATCTGACTCCTGCCAGCCCAGACTACTGGACTTTATGGGAGTTCCTCCATTCTTTTCAGATCTTTCTGCCTACTGTTCAGAGCTGAGGTTATATCTTCTGTCTGTGAACACTTAGGCATGGTATGCTCTAAGCTGGAGAATTGAACTGCAAAAAGTGTGAGTTCACACTGTGGGACACTGACAGGGGGTATTTTTTTTCACTTGCAATCACACAGCAATTTAGGCTCCATATGAAAATTGAAATCCAACTTGAGCTGGGCCATAGCATGACAGTCAGATGCATTGTATTACAGAAGACACAGGATCAAACTTGGTGTTTCCTTTGTTCTCTGTTCTCCAGTAAGATATCTAAATTAAAGTAATCCGTACTCTTTCTTGCACTTTACTGAAATGCCTTCGATCAAGGCATTTAACTGTTTCGAAGAGGTCACTATCCAATGTATTAGGTTTGTACTTAAAGATATTAGTAATTTCCGCACAACTGAGTTTAAGAGGATTTCCTTATTTTTCTTTTAAATAGCTTCTTTTAAGTAGCTTTTCTCAGTACAGTGGTACTACCTCAGCACTGTAGAAATCTTAACTTTTTATCAAGTTTTTTTTTCTTCTCCTTTGCATCTGTAATACAATTATTATTGTTGTTAAAAGCGGAACATGGATTTGCTAAAAAGCTGTGTGACTTTATGGAAGACCTACATCAATGGCTTCCCTGGGGCACCTGAATCCATTGGGGGACACCTGAAAATAAGAGCTACACACAGGAAATAAATCATATATACAGAAAACAGAAATGAGGTGAATTAAAAAATAAAAATTCACTGTGTGACTAAATTAAGCAACTCAAAGACGGTAAAATTTGAAAACAAGTTTTTCTTTTGTTGTTGGTGGGGGTGTTTAAAAACAGGTTGGGGGGGTGAAAAACAGATATGAACTTAAACAAATGCAAGTGACTTTTAACATAAATGAAAAAAGGAGAAGAATAATTTTGGCGACATGGACATCTGGCAGTTGGTGAAGTTTTAATTACCTCTTTACGCCATAGGCCATATTAAGCAAATTGTCCAGCCTGCGAAGAGAAGGAGGGTTCTGGGGTTAATGTCTCGCAGATGGTAGACTCACTCAATGGAACTAATGCTACATCTTTGCCTCAGTCAAGAAGATAAAAAACATTTAAAAATGGGCCATTACACCGAGCACCACCAGCAGACCGAGATCGTTCAGGGGTTGAAGTCACACTTGCAAAAACAGCAAAGCAGCACTGAATACAGAAGTTCACTGCATGTCTTCATGGACACTGTACCAGCCTTAGTTTTAGTTTGCTGCATTTTGCAAGTGTATTACAAAGTTGGTTTCCAGCACATGTTTTACGAGATTAAGAGAGACGAACCACTTCATCTACAGACTTAACCCTCATGATCAGTTTTAACAGGGTTAAACATGTAGAAATGAGGAGTCATTTTCCTGAAAATGGGCAAGAGAATATGGACTATGGATTGTGAACATGCATGCATGTACACAGTGTCTTTAGGAGTCAGAAATAAACTGGGGATTTGAAAACAAAAAGAAAGCTGATATATTGTACAAAAGTAGAAGGCTTTGGGATTATCATAAATCCCATAATCATCAACCATATCATAATCATAAATCTGAAGTCTTTAATTTTTTGTCCATTGAGACCCACTGTATCTATGCAAGGGTTATCAGAAAGACTTAAAATACTGTAGATGATGGTGGCATGCCAGTTTTCAACTTTGGGGGAAAAAAGCAATTCTAGTGCAAATATAGTGCAGTATCAACCTGAATGTTTTTATCAATTTCCCTTCGGGATCAATAAAGTCTTATCTTATCTTATCTTAATGTCAACTGTACTATATCAATGCAGTTCTGTGTAAACAGGCTTTTATTAATTCCTTATTTACTTGGCTGCCACTTTTATCCAAAGCAACTTACTTTTGTATCCATTTATACAGCTGGGTATTTTATTGGAACAATTCATGTGAAGCATCTTGCACAAGTGTACAAAAGCAGTGTCTTCCCTCGGATTTCAACCCACAACCTTGAAGTTACTATACACGTCCAGAAACCTACTTCAGATTTGCTGTTAAAGCTCCAACTGTGCAAAACCACCAGTGCTCAGCCTTTGTGTTTAATCTGGATTGTTTAGCCTCTAAATGGCCTTCATTTCTCAAGAAACCTCAGGCTGTCTTAAGTCATGTAATTTTGTTCGTCTGTGAATGGCATCGTGTGGAGCGGAAGAGTCCCTGTTTCCGCGCGCAAGGATCTCGGGTCAACAGTTGGGAAAAACACAACTGCGAAGTTGGAAACGGAGAATCATTAAGGTGGAAATGACCCCCTTTAAATTGGCAAATCTGCTTTCTGGGTAAAACAGATAATTGGAGTTCAGCTGAAGTGCTGCTCCAGGCAACTTTTTGCAGGAAGACATGTTTGCTGCACCAAAGCTAGCTCGGTCTCCAGCATTCGGTTTACTTTAATTCTCTCTAAATGGGTTTGCATCCTTTCATTTGATGCTTGATTTTTAAAGCAATTAGGTGGAAAAATGTGAAAACATTAAAAATATCAGATATGGCTTTGCAGAATGAAATAAAAAAAATATTTTAATCAAGAATATTTTGAGGCAATTCATGGCTAATCAAGATTGTTGTGTTTAATACAGTGATTAGATACGCTGTGAACTTTGGTCTTCATCTGACATATTCTTGGTCACTTATATTTACATTGTCCAGACAGATTAACCTTACTGACTACAGAATACACATCATTGATATTCATTTCAACCAATATCCTGCTAAGAGTCATTCAAATGTAAAGAAAACAGGCAGCCCAGTGGGTGCAACTTTGCATTAAAAAGAATATACTCACTTTGCTAATTAGCTTTCATTATTTTAATCTTATGTAAAAACCCCACCACTTGAACCAAACTTGAGTTCACATAAAAGAGGTGTTTATTATCTAAAGATAAGTTGCATATACTACTGTATAGTATACGCAATCCTTTCCTTACTGTTCATACTGTACGTGGTGTAATTGCACTACTACTGTACAGTAGGTAAATATGGCATAGCAAACATAATCACTAGTTAACATTCTTATAGTTTCAGCAGTTACATTTTTAACTGCATAGGAAAGGTAAAGTATTGACTTTTTCGTAAAATCCATTTTACCAGGTAAATTAGACAAATATAGCACTCACAGATGGTATTATAAATTTCAGTTTCTGGGTGAGAACATACGGTTCTTGTTTCCAATTTCTTGTCCTTGTACTCTATAACGAAAGATACTGCAAAATGGGAGATTGCCTCAGAAACATGAAAACATGTATTTTTCTCTGAAGAAAACATACATCTGTAATTTGAAAAAATTTTTTTCCGATATCATATGACTTCATTTCTTTGGAAAAATGTATACAGATGACTGAAGGAAAAAAAAGGGTGATCAAAAGGATGTGTGGAAATGGGGTGAATTGGATGCCACAGAGATGCCACTGTAGGGATTGTGAACATCAGAACCCCGCTATCTCTCGAAAACAGCTCCTCACTGATCTCTGTGAGGGGTGTGTGCAGGGGGGGTGAAGTCAGCTTCTACTCTCACACACATTACAGGTGGTAAATGCTTGTTAAAACTACCATTTTGCACACCCTGAGATGTCAGTCATTATTACCTGGCTGGTGAACGATGCCGACACAGAGAGGGAAAGTACCTGTTTTTTAAGGTGTCCACAAATTTCGGTCACATAACACAATCCCATGCTATTTGCGGATAAGACATGCTGTGAGGTCAATTTGGTTGGAAAATGCTAGATTTTAAACAGACTTCGGAGAGATCATACTTTTATGATAGCCGTTAAGCCACCCCACTAATATAAAACACAGAATACCCCACCGTGAAGCATTCTCAGTCTCTCCACACACGTTTTCTTCTCACCCCAAAGATCTCTACCTGAATCTCTGGGCCTGGTGATGCAGAGGGCCAGGGTACCGCCGGTTGGGGGACTGGTAGAGCTGGGAGAGTAGGGCCTGGCTGGTTTTCTGGCTGGGGTTGTTGGCGAACTTCACGGTGATGGGTTCAGCAGCGCCGGAAGGCTTCTGGCCGTTGAGTCCCTTGATGGCCTCCTCTGCCTCTATCCTCTTATCAAAGCGGATGAACCCCACACCCCTTGAGGCACCTGAGGGGCCAGAAGGCCAAAAACAAAAGGGAGTCAAGTTTACTTCACCTCTTCCACATCTCCCTCCACCCTGCCTCAGTGCCCCTTTCATAAAACGGTTTATTACCATTCGTGCCCCAGTCTAAAATGGTCCAGATTGGATTAAACTAAAATTGTTTGTGTCCCCAATCTTTCAGCGACAGCAAAAAGAAACGGAAGATTTGACTTCTCTGACCTTTCAGTTGTTTGATCTCAAACATTTTGGTCAGGCATGAGTTTTCATCATTAAAATCAAAAAGCATCTGTCAAAAGCAGCATTGTAAGAAACAGCACTGACAATTCTCAGAGGGAAAGGATTAAATAAAACGTGTACAGAAGAGCAACGACTTCACAAATCAGTTTGTGAAAGAAATTGCAACATCATTATACCCTGATCCATTTAAAAGCAGAAAAGTCAGTCGAGAGTCTTTCCATATCTTTCTGTCATTGGACAGGCAGCAGGTTACTTTCTTGTATGGGCAAGCAGATATAAAACAGACGGGATTTAATAATTTTATCATACAGGCAACAAAAGAATGAATAAGTCCAGGATTGAATTTCACCAATCCAACAACTTTCTGTTAGACATGAAAAGAAAAGCTGCTTTGAGACCTAATGGATGTCGAAATGGAAAATGACCATGAAGCGAAGTGAGGGGTTGTATTAGTCATGGCGAATAAATACCCAGAATGCATGATGTGAGTCTGACTCCAGTACTGGCTGCAGTTTCAACAGTTGCTTGGGGTGGGGGTGACACGCATGTGTAAAAGCTAAATTGCGAGCAGCATGTGATTCCCAAGTCAGAAACACTTCACCACCTGAAAGTAACATTTAAGGTACTAACTGCCTAGGGGGTCTTTTCCTCATCTCCTAAATAAATGAAGGAGGCCTGTTTTTAAATGAGGCTGTTTCAGACGTGCACAGCATACCCAGGAGGCTCAGACGACAGCACAGGATGAGAAATATTTCCATAATAATGTAAATGGTCATCTCCTGAAGCCCCAAACCAGATTTATTTTGTGTTTTTCCTCTCTGGTGTATTATTGGATATTGTTTTATTGATCTGGCTGATTTCAGTAGATAGTCAAGACCATCACATCACCTGAGAGCATGACAGCAAAATTATTCAAATCACACAAATATTATTACAGTGGTTCTGTATGTATAATAATAATGTACATGTTAAAACTCTTCTTGCTGATTTTAAGGTTTCTTTATCTATGGGCTAGTACATCATATAATTATGAGATTATAAATTTCCAATATGTGATGATCAAGATTTATTTAATTATATAACGTTGATTGCAGGAAGTTCCGTTCTTTAAAAATTCTTACTTTTTTCCACATTCATATATTTTACTGTTTACAATAAATTAAGTAAATGAGCAACTTGTAGTTGATTACTCTTCCAAAGCATAAACGTCACTGGTATGAAGAGAGGCAGGTGGCACCGAAAGAGGAGGAGGGCTTTACAAACTATTGACCATGACACATAAATGTCCTACAGTGACCACTAAAAGGAACTTCAAAGAATTTATGGCCATCACAGAAACCATTGATCACCTAAATGTATAGATTCCACTTGAACCAGCTGCAGTCAGATAAGCTAGCTTGGTCTCTCATGAGACGTATCAGAGAGTCATTCAATACAGTAATTTAATCCATCACTTCACAGCAGAGTTACTGCAGTTCTGACTGTGTGGAGCCCAGTCATTTCAGACAGAATTGCCAAAAGAGAATAATTAGAACAATGTTACATGAAATCTGGAGTAGTAAAGAACTCAAATGGGCAAAATACCACATGTAAATAGGGAACATGCTGGGCATAACAAATCCACAATGCCCCTTCCTCTCAAGTAAACTTGTTTAAAGGTGCAGTGTTAGAAACAAACTCCATACACATGGAAAGAGTTAGGATAACAGAACTAATTAATAGTAGAATTTAAATTCAAGCAGATTTAGTATTTATGAAATGAAACATAGAGGGAAAAAGGCACTTTTTTTAGGAAGCCTAATTGGGGACTTTTTAAGGTTTATTTTTGTTTTTGTGTTTTGAAAACAAATCCTAACTTTTGATGTCTTGTTCGGCTTTTTCTCAGTTAAGCTGGCTTTTTAAGTAAATTAGTCAACCACGTTCTCTTTTATCCACTCTTGAATTTGAATCCGCATGTTATGAAGCTTCAAAAAATAGGGCTTGAGGACTGGGAAATATTTTTAGATGAAAGATTCATGTTTATCAGCAGCTGTGCAGATCTTGGTTTTCTTAAACGTTTTTCTCCTGCCTTGAGGAGCTTGCTTGCCAGAGTGTCCTGTGGAGGAACGCGTACAGAGAGGCGTTGCTTCTGCTCCTCTGAGGAGGGGACTGCCGGTGCACAGAGCTATAACTACGAGCCTTTTGCCTCCACAGCTCCCAGCAGAACAGGCAACCCTGAGCGAAAACAGCACAGTGGAAGATGTGAAGATTTTACGCAATCAGTTAACTGTTGGAACAAAAGTGGATAAAACGAATCATGTCCTGAATGTGCATTCCTGGAGCACTTGACAGTTTTAAATCTCAGCGCATTCCTTTGTTCGCAGAGAGATGCTTTTCATTACAGTTTTCTCTGCTGCAAAAGCGGTGATTTAATGAATGCTTATAAGCATCACAGTCCACAGCACCAAATGCTCAGTTTAAATAATCTAGAATCTCATTTATATTCTTTCTGGTGACAGGCATCTACAGTGTTCGATCCAACATGCAGATCCAAACCCTTCTCTCCTACTTAGAAAAGCATTAAGATCTTTAATAGTTATGGGAGAAATGTAACTGTTGAAAGATTTTCCTTGACATTTAATTATCAGAGACTTTATATTAAAGCAAATAGTACTATTTGTAAGACACAAAAAGCACAGCTTGCTAGGCTTAAAGGTAGAGTTTTTTAAATTTTTAATTAAGAACCTGCGGAATCCTCATATATATTACATCAATATCTTTCCAGTTAAGGTGTTTGGCAGAATTCTGTGCTTATATAACTATACCTCTAGTAATCTCTAGCACAAATATATTAAAAATATATAGTTTATTAACAAACTGAAAAAAAAAACCAAATGGAAGATAGCAATGAAGAACTAATACAGCCCTAACAAAGCCATAATGTACCCACTAGGGAGCTACTCAACATTTTAAATGAAAATTAAAACATTCCTTGGGGAAATCCAGAAAGATCTGAGAGCTAAGACTGTTAATGAAAGCCTTCTTTCGACTCAAATGAGAACACTTTGCTGCTTTACCTCATTTTTGAGTCTTTTAAGTGACTGTGCCAACAGTTCTGAAAATTTATAAGACTTGCACGTTAAATGCATTTTAAAACTACAGCTCGTCTTCTCTTAATCAGCCTTAAAAAGTCCTTCTTTTGTATAACGTGGATCTTCTTATTGCAGATGGTTCTTTGAGAAAGAGTGGGAAAGAACCCTTTGAAGTTTTGACATGCAAAAGGAGAAGGACTGTAAATGCTGGCAATTAAAACCATCTGGCTTTCTACCAATCTAGCAATGGGCTAAAGTGGTAATATCATGTACAGTATGTGGTGATATAAGTTACAATGCAATATTTTACGAGTCTTCTTAAATCTGATTGGTTTTTAAACTTGTACCACATACATACTGCATGTACCGATATTTATCCCCAATACCTGCACTGATTTTTTTATAGACTTATATTTGCCAGAACTAGAGTTCCCACATTGTTTTCTGAAGCCCTGATTAAATTTTTGTCAATTGTGGGGAAATCTGCAGTCAGTTCAGTGGGTTCAGAAGGAAAAGCCTAGACATCTTTCAATAAAGATAAGACGTGTGTAAGAACAACATGCTGCTTCAATCTGTTTTGTTCTCTGTCAGGATGTGGTGTATCTCTCATAAACAAATCTGTAAAAACAAATTCAGTTATTCTATATTCTCATGAAATAAATATTCATCACTAAATATTCCTCTATTCCTCTCCTGACATAATACAAAAGCTTTAACCAGCGAAGTGCTCCCCACTGGTCATGCTGATGGCTATAACAACCTATCTATGTGGGTGTTTAGATAAGGAAAGACACTCTCACTAATTATTTTTTTATCTTTCTTTATGTTCAATTTCTTCTGCAAGAAGTGAAATTGCTACCTGGGCATTTTAAATCCTAAGTACATAAACAAACGCCCACACAGGGGGAATCAGTCTCTGGTTCAGCTATGGCAGCATCATTTTTCAAGCTGTGTGAACCACCACTGCAAACCAGCAAACATTCACAAAGCCACCATAAAGGATAAAGCTTGTGGACAGGACACAAAAATAATCTCAGAAGAGACCTTTGACACAATACTGAGGTGGTCAATACTGGCATTCTTCACATGAATTGAACAATGTGAATGAAATGTGCATTAATGCAAAATCTCCATAGTAATCCTTGTTCATTGTACAAACATAAAGTAAATTAGGGCTATCTTCAGATTTGATCAGATTTTATCAGTGTACTGGAGAGATCCACCTTGATCATGATCTTGATATGCAGAAGCTGAGCATTTCAGTTACACTATTGTGCCTTTGTGCTAAAGTGTACCTGGTATAGTTGTATATGATAGGCTTAAATATCTGCTGTTTTATTTTAAAAAAAAAAAAACTCCAGGTTTTAATTAATCTGCATCCAGCAAACAAAGGTACTGTACAAAGGTACAGTTCCATTGAAAAATATTTGCTCCCTTTTTACATTTTCTTGCATGTTTTTGCCACTGAACATTATCAGAGCTTCATATGGGTGAATAAATAACACCAAGGTTTATGGCATATTTCATTTTTTTCATAAACAAAGTCATCCAATATCTATTGAGCTTGTGTGAAAAAGTTAATTCCCTCTTAAATTCAGTAACTGGCTGCAGATATCCACAATAACTGTAACCAAACCCTTCCTGTAAATGACAACCAGTGTCTCACATTGCTGTGTAGGAATTTTGGCCCATTCCTCCATGATGAACTGCATGGACTGCTCATTTCAAGTCCTGCCACAATATTTCTATGGGGTCTAGGTCTGGAAGTTGACTTGGCCATTCCCAAATATTGAATTTCCTGTTCTTCATCCATTCGCTTGTAGACTTGCTTGTATATTTGGCATCAATGTCGTGCTGCATAACCCTTGGTCAGCTCCAAGACACATGGCCAGACATTCTCTTGGAGAATTCTCTAATGCAAAGCAGAATTTGTGCTCCCTTCAATGCTCAAGTCTTAATACTTTTTTTGCAGAGCTGTGTCAGCTTCAGCATGACTGGGGAACCTGTTCCAGCCACCCATGAACCTTTGTGTAAAGAAGTGCCAAAACACTGTAACACTGTCAGGACAGAAAAAGAAAATATCACCTTTTTTATGTCCTGAAAAGGTAAAAAAATATAAATAGAATTAGCAAGAATTCACATCTCAGTTCTGTGTCAGAAAGATTTCCAAAATCATATAAAAGCCACATAAGGAGGTGGTCGAGGAGGACTGGGCATTTTCCTGCCATATGCTTCATTGACCTCCTATGCAATGCAAATAGACATGAGGCCATCATTATAAAATTATGAAAAGGATGTATTTTGTTTTTTCAGGTTTCAATATTACAGAAATGATTAATAATATTGAAAACTGCACGAAATAATAGCCTGATCAATACATAATGGAAAGACTGTAAGCAAAATAAATGTAAAATCCTGTATAAACATTGACAAAAGGCTTATCCCAGAAGGTAATCCCATGGATCTCTGTCACGATCCAGTAGCAGGTAAATATAGGGCAAGAACAGGTGCTGCACAATTCCACAAGGTTTTGTACTTTATTTCCTTGTCCAGCTCATGACAAAAATGTAAAGTTGTTCGGTCTTTTCTTATGCCTTATGCCTTTGTCTTATGTCATGATCAAAATCTGATAAATCTCTTTAAAGGGCCAAGAAAATAATGGATTTTCAACAGACAAGAGCCTTAGTTTTCTCAGTCAAATCTACTTGTATCAGTAATCAGATACAAGAAATGGAAATCGCAGTTTTTGCTGTAATACACCAGTGACAACAACACATACAATAATTTTACATTGACAAAAATGAAATTTCAGACACCAACACGACTGTCACACAAATATAAATAGAACAACATTATTTTTTCCCCAGAAAGCCTACACTGTTATAGCCACCAGTTCAGTGCATGGTATATTTCATACTGGTAAAAGATATTTACCATAATCTAATTTATTATTCATGAATCCATTTCAATGTATGCAAATATCAAAAAAGGATAACTACCATACCGATAAACAGTGTTTATGAATCAGAAAAAAAGCATAAAATAGTTTTTACCACCAAAGCAACTCTCAAAGGAGTACAAGTCAAGCAATAGGTATGAAAAGCCATATGGAGATTTTTTTCATTTCCAGGGAAAAGGAAGCTATGAAGAAACTCATGCCACTGATATTAACCTGAAGAACTGTTTGCTGCAGGAATACGAAAAGCAATACGGAACAAATGCATTGCAGTACAGGAGGATTAAAAGGTTGAAAAACAGGTGAAATTATGTGACCATGAAATACAAAGTGCTAGCACTGTGGGCCTTTACTTAAGTGAAACGCCCTCGTAGTTGTGATTTCAAAGCTTGATGCGTGAAACCAGATCAAGATGAAACTTTGCCAACAGCTAACTTTGTGGTTCAAAAGCATTACTCTGTTTGAATTGAAATGTGCCAGTCAAGAAAGACTTCCAGGAAGCTATTTGGAAACATCTGTATTCAGCACAGACCTGTTTAAGCTCTGATTCATTTGTCCTCTAGGGCAGCTCTAGGACAATATAAATGCCTTTGTCTGGATGTACGTAGCAATTGCAGGGCAGTTTTCATGATTATTTAAATAGCAGAGGATAAAAGCTTCGACACGCTTGCAGTTCCCCAAGTAAATTCCTTAGAAAAATCTCATAATATGTCAAATAGCAGCAAACAGGCATATTATTTGATAAAGTTTTATTCTTTTCTTTTTTACTGTTTGGTTCCTTAGCTAAAAAAGAGAAAACTTCACACATCCCAGCTCTATAAAGAAATATAGATCTATAAAGACAGTGTCCCTGGTCATCAGTGCATGATGCACTTCGATCCTGGTAGTTTTACATACAGCTCTCATTGTTACTTAAGTTCTCCTAGGGTTTTTAAATGATTTGCATTAGGTAAATATTGAAACTGCTATTGAAACTCAAAAATGCTGAACTAGTTTATGGTATCATTAATTTATCACCTCCTACCCTATTATAAAAATCCCCTATATATATATCATTCTAATTGCTTTAAAAACATTATAATATACTGCATAAATGCCTATAATGTTTTGTATACTTGCATTGTACATATTTAAAATGTGGGAGCAGGAAAACTGCATGTAAAATATCCCTGTCCTGTGAAACTCGCCTCAGACTAAATGAGTCACTTGGGATCTTCCGCCCACTTAAAAATTTTAATAACATAGAATATTGCAGTCTTTTGTTCCCATGGTCCCTTGTGAGTTTAGCTGCAAAGGTGCTTATTCTGTGTATAAAATGCATTCCCATTTTCTTTAAATTGCTGAATGGTTGTAGAACAGAATTTAATTAAAAATCTTAAGGTTATTTCGTATCACCCACAGAGTGTTGTACATAGATGTTTTAGAAGCTGGAAAGTATTTTTCCTTCCCCCTGATAGCCTGAAGTAACTGAGCTAATTAATCAGTAAATGAAACATAAACTTGTGCTCCATGAGTTGAATGCACAGAAGTAGTTATTCTTCGAGAATTGAGGCTTAAGGACAACCATCGAGCAGCTCTTATCCGAAAGACAACATCCTAGAGTGTAAAACAAGCAAAATGCAGCACTGGAGTACTTTTCAGTAGAGATGCTGCCGTCTTCTCTTATGCAACACGAGAGAGGGCATTCTGAGAAACGGCTTACTCTCTTTCACGTTAGTAATTGCTCGTGAATTTTAATTTAAGCCCTGTTTTAGTTTATTACAGTGTGACTGGGTATGAAAATTCCAGAGATGTCTTCAACGGCTGAGCTCTCTCAGTCGTCTCAAATCCTCCTCACGTCTTAATCACCAGTAACTAAAATTTAATTAGTAATTAAAATTCCTCTTGTGGATCCACCTTTCTCTGGAGATGGGAAGGGTGTTTAACTGTAAGTGTAAAAGATCAGGAGCACAGGAACAACAGGAGCCTTTTGCCTTATGCTGGTCTATTGGATGCTGCAGAACAATGACAGAGCTTTCACTATGGAATGCAAGACCAAAAAGGACTTGAACTGTTTTAAATATTTCCCTTGGCTGCCAAAAGCCATCCAGAAAATGAGATAGACATCCTTGATACAGAACCTACCTACTTTCAGTTCCAGTTTCAATACAATGCCCTGTGCTAGGAACTGTCACGGACGTCCAAAGGGACAACCCGTGGGGAGCAGGAGAGCGGAAAAAGACCCATATGCGTAGCGGCGAGACGGGAAAAAGGCCCGGGCTCATAGTGCAAAGAGTTCAGGAA